GGACCCATGTTATTTCTGGTCTATTTTACACATCATCCATGGAGCAGTAAGAACATACAGTGGAAGCCCTGCCTACATGATATATCCTTTCTAATTTGGTAAGAAGATAACAAGTAAATAGAATATAATGTTCATCAAAGCAAATACTGGGAGGAAAGTCTAACTGGATGAAGGGCTGGGTGATTGGATAGCACACATGTGCTTCTGAAGTATAATCCAAGAAAAATATCAAAGAACAATCAAATATACTACAGGTTAGCATAAAAATGCAAGTGAGAGGTTGTGAGGAGACTCCCGAAATATAATTTCTGTTAGCTAATGCCTAGATCATAAATTAGGAATCAATAAGATTCAGAGAAACATAATATCTTTGTAACAAATTATAAGGAAACATAAGTAGGTAATGTCACCTGAATCGAATGTCCAGGCTGCCTACTGCTCAGGGAGTGCCAAATTCATAAGAGAGACCTGGAAAGGAGCAATTAGATTTATTTAATACTGGCCTGAAGAAGATGGAGAGGCTAGATCTTGCAAGCCTCATTTTAGGGTGGATCATTTCACAAAGGACCTCCATTGGGAGGAAAAGGTAGAGCAGGGTGGGACATTACCATGAAAATATGATCTCCAGCATCCAAGGACATGTCGTTTCTTTTTCTCTGACTTAAACATCATCATGGACTTTTGATATCATCCGGTAGTTACTAAGGAACATCACTGCCAAGGCCATCAGATATTCTGGATTCTGTGAGTCTAAAAAGATTTGACAATTAACATCTTAACCACCTAGGTGTGGCTGCTTGTCCTTGCCAAAGAGTAGGGAGTAACAAAAGAGCAAAAGAAAGAAGGGAAGCAAAAGATATTTTCAAAGAAGCCCCAGTTACAATTGCCCCCTTGCATCTGTTCATTCCATGGTTGGAGGGATTTGGTGCACCTGCTTTTCTAGCTACTTCCTACTGAAGGAAGACATGGAATGAAACTCTTCAGGACTCATTTGGATAATTTGTAGGTTTCCTGGCTATATGGGATATTAGCCCACAAGAAGGGGACAAATTGGTCTGTAAACAATAGCTAAAGCATTAAGTAAGAAGACTCGGATGCTTAAGCCTAAAAGTAGAGGTGCTATTATAAATCATGAATTTGTAAGAATTATAAATAGAACAGAAAATATAAGTGGGAGAAAGTATCTTCAATAAATCATGTAGGAGAGGATCTCTTTTTCTGAATGATTGTATGGGCATATATTACTGAACAAAATATTTCCAATCAGTGAAAATTGTCATTATCTTGTCTCTAAATGGAAAGCTCTTATCAAACCTATAAGCAACAACTTGGATCACAGATGTACACCACCAAGCCCTGCTAATTCAATTTTTAATGCAAACTCTTCTCATCTTTTATGTGCAGTTACTAGTATTCTAAATGGTAGTTTTAAAATAAAAATACTGATTGTCTTAGAATTATTTTAATCTCTCCTTTAACACACAATTAATAATGTCAATCTGATGAAAGGATACTAATGTAAATGGCTCTAGTCTTAGAGAAATTCATCTGCTCTGAATAGCTCACTGTATTCACATTCAGTTTCTATTCCATTTAGCCTATAGAATTTCAAGACTCTTTAAAGAAATCATACATTTTAATGATCCCTTTCTTCTCCCATGTTTACTTTTATAAATTCCTGCCCTACAGAATAAGTCAAATAATTTGCCCCTCCTCTAACCGATTTAGTCTCCTTAACCTGACAGAAATTCTTTCAACAAAACTAACCCAAACTTGTCAATATGTACATCCTCTAGTATTATCCCAACAGTTTACAATATGATACATATATATATATTTCACATATGAAACCTTGTTATATAATAGAGCTTGTTTTTAAGGATGCTGTAATTTGAATATGAATACTTTGTTGTCCCAAATGTCAATAGCATCAAAATTGAGAAACTCTACATTTGCCTAACTTGTCTTCATAAGAGCAAAATCTCAAATGACAAAAAAAAAATCTAGAAACAACTTCTAAACTGATAATTTTCTGAAACAAATAACATTCTAGTAGGCACTTATAGATATATTATATAGGTGTGTAATCTGGCTATATATCTAATGAAAGGTTACCTCTCACCGAGATTCATTTGATTTGGTTGATTGTATCATTTTCTATTAATTTTGATGTGTCCTGCTATAAGAACCCATGTCTTAAATTTTTCAGGATTCTGTGAATTGACACTAGTTTGATTGAGTTCAGATTGTATTTGTCTTATGTTTATGGCATTGCAGTTGAGGGCAGAGTTTAGACAGTTTGCATTTGCATTACTTAACTGCTATGAAACACAGAAAACTAATTTCACTTTTCTAATCCATTGTCTTCCCATGGCGAAATTTAGAGCACATTTATAATGCTGTCCATGAGGAATGAATGTGTTGATGTCCACTCATCACTTCCATAGTCCAGACACAGAGAAAAGACTCTAAACACCAGCAGCACTACCATCAGCCAGAGTCCTTGTAACCTTGGTTACAGCAGATTCTGAAGCCACATTTCCTGTGTTGGAGTCCTGATTCTATAATGAACTTGCTGTGAGCTAGCAGTGAAGTCCTCTATAACTTTCCTACATTAGTTTTTCCACCTGCAAAGTGGGAACTATAATACATATCATATATAGTTGTTATAAGGATTCCTAAATTAATACCAGCAAAATACTATACTTAGTACATGGTAGTCCTCACTGCTGTGTGGGAACATTTCCAAGACTTTTAGTAGAGACATGGAATTTCAAATAGGGCCAAATATTTTATGGAATGTTTTTCTGACACATAAGGACTAATAATAAAATTTAATTTATAAGTTGAACACAGTAATAGACAATAATAATGCATGACAAAACCGAACAAACATAATAATGTACTGTAATAAAAGTATCCCAAAATTTATGAATTACTTATTTCTAAAATGTCACTTTAAATTGTTTTGTCCATGGTTCACTGTTGTAACTGAGACCATGGAAAATAAAGCCACAGAGAAAGGAAGACAATTACATCCTGACATATAATAAGCTGAAGATAAATATGTTTACTGGTATTTTTTACTTTCCTCTTTTTATCTATTATCATTTCAAATGATAATAGGTTTCCTCTTCTAGGGAGATTAAGATGTTCCTACTTATAGCGAAAGGTCAACATGCACATGTAAGATCAGAACAAACTTAAAACAAAGTATATAACTGTGAAAAAGGAAGTGTTAATTAAAATACTAAGGGACCAGTGTTCAAGAGAGTCCTCAGGACAAAAGTTCACAGTTGAGCCATCCAGGTCCCTGATATTTTGGTCTGGGAATTCAGAAACCTGTAGCCTTCTTCTATGGTCTTACACATCCTTATTTGCCTATTATGTCAGATGGTTCCTTCCAGGTGTGTTTGTTATGTCTCTTCTCATAGTCATCTGGAAAAGTTGAAGTTTATGTTTCTTTGGTGCTGAGTCATTTTCCACTTGCCATAGAATTGCATTCTAAATTTAGATTTGTGAGTTTCCAATGAAATCACTTTTCTGGCACCTGTGGCCTTGGGTATCAATGACAAGCATGCAGGTATAAATACCTATTTGGATGGAAAGACTGCATTCAGTTCCCCAGTCCAGGTGAAGAGTGCTACCATGAAAACCTTCATCTTTCTTGTCTTCCTGGGAGCAGCTGGTGAGTGTCTTCAATAAATGAATCAAGAGGTGTCTATGGTGTATGGAAGTTTGTGTTGTGCACTTGGTAAAACAAGGAGTGTTGAATATGTTGTTTTTACTTAAGAAGCATAAAGTGTCGAAGATAAGGTATGTAGTACATGTTTGCAGAAAATTAAATCACACTTGTGGGAGGAAGTGGTAAGCATGATGATCAAAATGATTCAGAGTAGAGGGCATAAAGAGGCAGAACTGGCCATGAATTTCCAGAAAAAATTTCCTTGGATGGAGAAAAAAGGAAAGGATTCTGAAGAAGCACTTGTCTGAACCTCTTTAGGAAGGTGGAGTTAATAATGAGAACTAGTCTGTGTTCATTGAAGAGGTTGTGAATGTCCAAGCTTAATTTTCCTGAATACTAAATGGCTGGTTATTTACCCAAGGAGTCCTCACAGGATAAGACCTATTAGTTCTCCGAGATAAACTTCTTTGACCTGTGGTTTGCAATACCATTGCCATGAATATTCTCTGGTAAAAGTCATACTGTCATTCAACTGTGAAAAAAATAGAAAAATGACTATTTTTATTTTCATGCTATCTGGTTTTATACCTTTAAAATTTAGTATTAAATTTGATCATCTATAAATTCAATGTATCTGCCTGTCTACATACCTAGAGACTTCTAGAATGATTTTAAATTATTGGGAAAAAAGGGCTCATATAATATAATCATAGAGTTTCAAGGCTATAATAAAGTTTGATAAGTATTTGGGCTACAGTTCCCAATACCAAATGCATTCATAGGTGTAAGAAAATAACTAGGATAAGGGGAATAATTAGGGAAGGGGGTCACAGAATGTTCTATAAAATGATTTATAAAAAGTTGAGGCTAGAACCAAAGAGAGAAATTGAGTGAATATAAGTACAAAATTATGTTTTCCTTCCAGAGCAGAATATTCTAAGGTGCCTAAATACTTCCTTTCTGTAACTTAATGAACAAAACCATGCCCTACTGACACTGAATCAACCACCCTAAAAACAAAAAATTGCAAAGATTCTGCATGTTTACATAAATGCTGAGCAGTGTTCTTAATAAAAGTAATTTTTATATCTTCTGGTATGGTCAGGTGTTTATTATACAAAGAGACTTTGATCTGTTTCTATTTGTGAATATGTGTGTTACAGTGTAATAGATAAGTACAAAGATAAGATATATATCAAAATTAAAGCACACATTAAAAATTACATACTTATTAATAGTGGCATAAGAAAAATATGTTAAAAATATAAAAAATTAATTTTCAAAAATTTACCATAAAATTAGCATTTCCTGATGCATAAGACAATAGCATTGTCTGCTCTTTTCTGCTTGGTTAGTCTGCAGAAATTTCATGGTGAAGGAGAAATTCCTGATACTTGCATTTAACAAGTTTCCCAACTTTTCCTCATCAGCTGCTTTCCCCACTGATGGTGAAGATGACAAGATCATTGGGGGTTACGCCTGTCAGAAGAATTCCCTCCCCTACCAGGTGTCCCTGAAGGATGGCTCCCACTTCTGTGGTGGCTCCCTCATCACAGATCAGTGGGTGTTGTCCGCAGCTCACTGCTACAACCGGTAAGTGGACAATATTCACATTCCTATACTCTACAATCAAATCTTCCTCCAACCTCAACAAACGGAAACCAAGGTAAATCACAGTTATGCACAATAGATAAAGCATTCAGTACCTAAGAGTGGCAATATCCGCTCAGGAATTATGAGATGTATTGAGGAACTTTTACAAGAAGTGATACCCTTAAAGTTCCTGATGGCTTCTTAGTCACATTACTGAAGTGTGGAAGGCAAGCCATGGATGATGATGTTTCTCATGAAATATCTTAAGCGTATGAATCAGTACATAGTGATATCATTATGGCTTAACAAGAACATTATGGAATATAATGTGAACATAATAAAATGTATCATATATCTGCTACACTAACAAATAACTACGATTCACTCTCTTCCCTTGCTATCTTACTGTATCACTGACTCTGTCTCATCGCCCTGTGAAACACGGTGATTTCAGCCAAAGCAGAAATGGCAGATGCTGATCAATCTCTCCCTATCCACTTTCCTCTTCAATGCACAAGTAGAGGTTATTTGATTCCCATTCCTGTATCTTCCTATTCTAACAAGATTCTGGGACATATACGGGCACTGGTGGGACATGGGTCCAAGGAACTCTTTAAACTGCTCCGTGTGTGTTGTGGTGCACATGCTACTTTAAGTGTTCCTTGCCTGTGTGACCAAATTCTTGAGGAGGATGGGGTGTGGTAAAGCTCATGGTTGGAAGGTTGGTAAAAGGAGACAAAATTAAAATTGGAAACATAGGAAATTTTTAATCCTTTAATCAAGCCAAATCCAGGTTTGTCTGGGAGAACACAACGTTCATGTCACTGAAGGTAATGAGCAATTTATTGATGCAGCCAAGATTATCCCTCATCCCAAATATGATGAAAACACCATCGATAATGACATTATGCTGATTAAACTGAAGTCACCTGCTACCATCAATGCTCGAGTGGGCACTATCGCTCTGCCAACATCCTGTCCTTCAACTGGTGCTCAGTGCCTCGTGTCTGGCTGGGGCAACACCCTAAGCCTTGGTGGTAAGTTTCTCCTGCAATAGAAAGACCAAGTCTGAAAGTGTTAGAGGTAAAAGGCACCTTAAGGGTTAGTCCAACCTCTCACCCAAGGCAAAGCTCTCAGAATTTGGCTTTAGATATATGTGGTCTTAGAATACACTCACTGAGGTGAGGAAGCTTCTTTTCTGCATACAATGCAGAACTACTAACACAGATGTCAGTGTATTTAACTGAACTGGGATTAGTAGTGTTGAAAAGGCTAGAAACAGAAGAGGCAGATGGAACCACGATAAAGGGACTCAGTGCTAACTGATGAGCACATTTGCTTGAGAAGAAGTCTCTAGACTTGATCCCAGTGTCCACTGATTCTAGTGTCAGAGAAATGAGTTGGTTGTCAGAACTGTTTGATGAAGCATTTAGGGAAAAGAGCACTCTTCAATCATAAGTCATTGGTAAAGGGAAAGAAAGAGTAGGAGTCATGTGATATAGAGGACAGAATGAAATTTCTGATGATGCTCTGTGTAATCCTCTTCTACTCTCGCTGTTGTACTCAACAGTCAAGTTCCCTTCGCTCCTTCAGTGTCTGAATGTCCCTGTCCTCTCTGACACTGTTTGCCACAAAGCATACCCGGGTCAGATCACTAGCAACATGTTCTGCTCAGGCTTCATGGAGGGTGGAAAAGACTCTTGCCAGGTGAGATTCTTTGTACTTCTTCATGGTTCTCCTTAGTCTCATCCTCTACCCATTGTATTTTTCCTTTTCTGAAGACTGTACAACTGCCCTTGGTATAGATCATAAAAAGAGAGACAGCTTTGGTATAAATTATAAATTCTTTGTGATGTTTATGATTAAATTGTAAAAAAAGATACACAGAAGATAATGTTAAACATGAATCCAATCAATAGTCTGAGGCACCATATTGTGGAAGGGTACCCTAGTGAAAGGTGCAGAGCTTTTGTGATGGCATTAAATCTCTCCAGTCCTCTTCATCTTATATAGGCCTACCAAGGAATGGGGAGGACCATAAGAAAGGAAGAATAAGGATGTAGTAAATAGATCAAGGTTCAATTTCCAGGACCATAGAGGTTGCTTCATGGAGGAACTACACCGTGTAAAAACAGTCCCAGTTTAGGGGAGGCACATCTTGGGTCTCATTTTCACAAATGGATATAAATCATCATTACTTGGAAGGCTGAGGCAGGAGGATCGCCATGAGTTTGAGCCTGTCTGGGCTACATAATGAGTTCAAGGCAAGCCTGAACTACATAGCAAGACCTAGTTTCCAAAATAAACCAACCAAACAAAAAAGAAAATTCAGAAGTCCAATGAATATAAACAAATGTCCTGCTTTTCTTTTTGTTCTTATTCAGAGAGATTCTGGTGGCCCTGTGGTCTGCAATGGACAGCTCCAGGGAATTGTCTCTTGGGGCCATGGTTGTGCTGTCAAAGGCAAACCTGGTGTCTATGCCAAGGTGTGCAACTACCTGGACTGGATTCAGGAGACCATTGCTGCCAACTGAGCACCTTTACTTCTCGTGTTCCACCATTCATAGTCAATCTCACCTTCCTTCTGTGCCTGAAATTACAATATTAAAAAGAAATTTTGTTCTGCATTACATCTTTTCCACAATGGGTCCTTGATTGTTATTCATAAACTTTCAAAACACAAGAAGATAGAAATGTGTAGTATTTTATTGGGAAATTTGAAAGGTTAACTCATCATTCGTCCCATCAAATGAATAGAAACTTAATTGTCACTTCTTACATTCCAAACTGGGCAAGACAGTGAGGCTAGAAGGCAAGTAAGTCACATTTCCCATCATGTTTCATTTATAAAACAGGTATGTATGATTTGACTATTTTTCACACGTGGTCATGTATTTTTGGTGGTCTATAATGTGTTCATCACCTATGACAGATCATGTCACTAAAACGCAGAGTCAAAATCACTTGCCCAAAGTCAGTCACACAGTTCATAATAAAACTGCAATGATGCCCAACTTGTTTCTACAGTGTGCCTCTGCTTCTGTGAACAGATGCTCTCTCTTTGTTTGTTTTTGTAATCAATCTGAAACTCCAGAGGCCCAGTGATGGAAAATTCTAGATGGATGCTTTTTCCAAAATCCACAGGATTCCTGCATTTTCCAAGGCTTCACCTACCTATATGTTCCAGTTCTCTAAGACTTTCTTGTTTTCTAAACAAATATGATTGAGTTAGCAGGCATGGACTGTGGAGAGGGTCAGCACCTCCTCCCATCATCCATCCCCCACATCTCACCTCGGATGATGGAACAAACATAAGGCATAAGAAGAGTAAAAATGCAAATCAGTTTGAGAAACATAGATCTCCTCTCTTAGATCATTGTGGATTTGGATCTGGAGGTGTTATTGTCTTCTTCATCCCCACCTTTGCTGTGTACAACACACACTCCACCTTTCTTCCTAGCTTTCTGCCTAGCTTTCCCCTCTCATCTCCATTGTCCCACAGATCATCCAGAATAGGGTTTTCCATAAAAGTCCCCCACATAATTCCTTTGCATACCTGGTATGAGACAGGGAAAAGCCATAATGGAATCTGAGCACAGATCCACTGGGATAACTGGAACAGCTTTGAGAGAGGAAAATGCAGGCTCAGAATAAAGTGAAAGAAGCATGCTGTCCTAACTCAGGATGCTCAAATAAAAGCACAATGGACTGTGGGCTTAAATGCCACACATTTATTTCTCACAGGTCTGGAGCCTGAAGCATTCAAGGTCACAGCACCAACAGAACTGATGTCTGGGGAGCTCCTGCTTCCTGATTTGCTGATACACCCACGTGCCTGGTATCTTTGTAGCTCCATGTGGCCAAGAAAGCCAGCTGCAGTCTCTTCCTATACTTATAGGTAAACTGGACCTAGTATAGGGGCTCCTCTCTCTCAGCTTTATCTAACCCCAATGAGCTCCTGCAATTTCCACCCAGGAGGAAAGAGTGACAAGGGGGCACAGAAATGAGGAAGAGTGAAGAAAAAAGGATAAGGAAGGAAAAAAGTCAACACATAAAAGAAAGTCTAAAAGAGGGAACATAAAAGAGAATCTTTTAAAGAATAAAGGAAAATAAAACAATACCAATAAAGAAAATGGACTGGAAGAAAAAATAAACAACCAAGATAACACAGAACAAACAAACAAGCAAGAAAACAACAAAAAATAAAATTACTGCAATTAAAAATGCTTTACACAATTGTAGCATTAATCTAGAGCAGTGATGGTGAACCTTTCAGAGACTGAGTGCCCAAATTGCAACCCCAAACCCACTTATTTATCACGAAGTGCCAACACTGCAATTAAACACTGAGTTGCACAGCTACTCCTTTCTGATCATGCTCATGGCCCTTATGTGTGCTGTTGTCTGATGCTTAGCTGCTGGGGCAATGCTGGGGCAACTTGGCTCCTATGGTGACAGAGGGGCAGGGCATGCTCACTTCTGCACATGTGCCATAGGTTTACCACCACTGACCTACACCATCCCATCCGCACAGCTCCCTCTACACTGGAGCCACAATCTGCTTGTAAGCAGTAAAGTAGTTTGGTTTCCTCATGTGTGCCACTCAATTGACTACTCAAAGTAATGAGAGCTACTGCTCCCTCTGGACCTGTCTCTTGCTGCAACCTGTGCTCCAGGGACAGCTAACTGCCGGCTTGCATCAATGTCTCAAGATCTTATTGTCTTAATTAATTTGGGAGGAAGAAAATGTGGTATGGTTCTCCAGTTCTCCGGTTCTGCAGACTTCCACTAGAGACCACACACTATGTGGTCCCTTCCTTGCCTGCCAAAAGTCTCTGTCTTTCTTTCCTTAGTTTAGGACAGGAAGATCCCTGGCCATGTGCCAGTCTCTCCTTCTCTACCTGTAGCTGTCTATATGTCCCTGTCTCAAGAGCTCTGCTCTCAGAATTGCCCATAGAAACTAGGGGCACCCCTAGGCTTGCCAGAGGGCCGCTTTGCCAGCACCAGGCAATGGGCAGGACCTCATGCTGTCTCAGGCCTTTTTTCTAAATGGCTCCATGGATATATATCTGGGATCAGTGAAAAGAGTCATGTCATTTTCCTGTCTCTACTGAAATATGTGGTGGAAAGTTTTGTAGTTCTAATGTCAGGCAATCATGGGTAAGAACTGTTCCTTCATAGCTTCTTGACCTTATTGCATTGATAGAGCTGACACAAGTGATTTCTTTTGAACCTGACAATATTCCCTCCTTGTCCTGGGATAATTTTCTGTGAACATAGCTGATCAACCACCCTGTGATTTTGTTCTGATTTTCCCTAATTGCCAGTATAACTCTGCTCTTGATTTTGGTCTAAGGGGGTCCTGCAACCCAGGGGAAGTGATTGATGACTAGGAATCAGTGTCAAAACCCTTTTAGCCACATTTGAGCAGCAAAAAGATTTAGAAGGAGTGATTCTCAGGCTCAGCTTATCTAGGTCCATTGTTAAGTTTAATCTTGTCCATTCTGCAAAGCACTGGACTAGATTATTTTGTTAGAAATTTTATGTCCCAGCCTATTAGTATCAACAGGCAAGAGCAAAGCATGTTCACTTTGCCTATCACATCTAAACAAATATAGTTATTTCAATAAGATCAGTGTATCTTTGTATTTGTTCAGGGTGTGCAAAATCTCATAATTTTTGTCAACTCAATCACACATAAAATCTCTTACAAGCTCTATTTCTTTCCAAAATTCTTTTACAACATCTTTTATAACTTATCCAAACCTTTACTTAGTTCTGGATTATATTTCATTTCCTATTTGGAATCACAGTCATCTTTTGATAAAAATTTTCTCTTTGAACAGAATTTTAAGTCGTTTTAATCTTAGTCTATTTATAGGAGACAACTTAACAAGGGATGAGGTAAAAGGCAGATCCTTGTTCCAGGGAAGGCTGGCTGTTGGAAAATCTTGCCTAACATTTTTATATTTGAATCTAATCCCACACCCTCTCTAAATACCATTATGTTTAGGAGTATAAGAAAACAAACTTCTCCTACATTGTTCCCCGACTCTATTTGAAGATTCATTAATATATCACCTTTGAAACATGAAACAAATGGAAAAAGACTAAGAGAGCTTTTTATTTCCTTTCTTTGTGGAAAAACTGACAAACAATTTCCATGTTATCACTTTGCCATCATTTAAATCAATAAGGCTCCATTTATTACTTCTCTAAAAATCTGTATTATTTAAAGTCCTACCATTCATTATGTTTTACAACGTCTTTCCTAATTGTTCACATGTAATTCAATCATCAAAAGAGCAATGAATATTTCTACTAGTTTCATACTATTAAAATGTAATAATAAAAATTTGCAAGATTTTATTATGAACTCAACCCATCTGTATACATCCCTTGAATCTGCTGTCCTAAAATTATTTTAAAGTATTGAGAAAATGGACTCATATAATAAAATTTAAGACTTTTGTTTTGTGAGCAATCTTGATAAATCAGAGAGTCACACTTCACAATGCCAAACTCATTGGTAGATTTGGGAAGGGTCACTGGGGTAAGGGGAATGGTGTGGAGGAGAATATTTCAGTATTCAGTAGGATGATCTAATGAAAATTTTAGTCTAGAATGCAAAAGGGGAGAAGAAAAGTACAAAACTCTCTTTTCCTTGTAGGTCAGAATATTTTCAGGTAATTCCTAAATTTCCTTTGTTTTACTTTATAAAAAGAATTATGCCAAACACAAAAAACTTAGTATAAAAACTTTTCAAAAAATATACCTTTACACCACATTTCCTGATAATGTGAGAAAAAAGAACATGATCATCTCTTTTCTAGCTAGACTGTAAAAACTTAATCATGGACTAAAAGCTCCATTATGGATTAATTTAACAAAGAAATTCTAAGTTTTCCCTGCCAGTTGCTTTCCCACTGATGGTGTAGATGACAAGATCGTTAGGGGCTACACCTGTCAGAAGAATTCCCTCGCCTACCAGGTGTCCCAGAACAATGGCTCCCACTTCTGTGGTAGCTCTCTCATTACTGATCAGTGGGTGTTCTCTGAAGCTCACTGCTATGAGTCCTAAGTGACCTCTATTCAAATTCTTTACAATAAGATCAACTTACCTCTAGCCTCACCATAGCATAATCAGAGAAAACTACAGATTTTTCCTTAATGGATATAGTATTCAGATCTTAACAGCCTAATTTTCCCCTCAAGAGTTGCATAATATACTGAGGAAATTATACATAGAGAGGTACCCTTAGAGTTTGCTGATGTCTCCCTAAATGATGTTACAAAAGATGTGGAGGAGAAATAGTGGCTGATAAAATATGCCTCGAAATAGTTGAGAACAACTAGATAGTCCTAATTACTAGAGCTGAACCAGGAAATGATGGAATGTAGAGGTAATAAAATGGATTGTATTTCCACTACATCATTAAATATAACATAAGACTTTGTGTGATCCCTCAATATTTTCCTGTATCTCTGACTCTGTCACATCTCACCATGAAACTCAGGGATCTCAATCCAGTGG